TAAGGCACCACTTCCACCGGGACGGCTATGCGCCTTTGCACCGAGCCTGCTGGGGAAAGAGTTTCTTGGCCGACTTAGGGGGGGGGACAAGTTTTGGGCCTTTGGAGTTTAGGGTTGGATTGTGGCGTTTGGGTGGCTCGGTTTTGGGGCTTAAGATTTGAAAGGCGGCGTTGAAGATGTTCGGTCCTAGGTCCCTCATCGTTGCCTGTTACTGCTCTGAGTCTTAGTCTTCTTACCCTAAACCCTAAACCCTAAACCCTAAACCCTAAACCCTAAACCCTAAACCCTAAACCCTAAACCCTAAACCCTAAACCCTAAACCCTAAACCCTAAGCCGGCATGTGGACTTGGAGTTCAGGGTGTTGGGGCGGCTCTGTGGGACGGCTGCCCGGTCCTAAACCCCAAGCCATCCTCAGCCTTCCTAAGCCCATTGGAACCCTGAACCCCTAAACCCTAAGCCCTAAACCCTAAACCCTAAACCCTAAACCCTAAACCCTAAACCCTAAACCCTAAACCCTAAACCCTATAAACCTTTGACCGGCCCTGAAATCCCAAGACCCCATGGAACCCCCAATCCACTTCAAGCAAGGAGCGAGGCACAGCCAAGTGGTCCGACGCCTCCTGGAGGCTGCAAGTGTGCTTGCAGGCGTTAGGGTTTGAGGGGTCTAGGGTTTGGGGTTTAGGGTTTAGGGTTTAGGGTTTAGTGATCTCAGAGGCCTTTGGGGTTGGGGTCTGCGCCTTGAGGGTTCATAGGGGCTAGGGTTGAGGGTTGAGGGCTTCGGGTTGGGGCCTGGGGTTCAGGGTTTTGGGGGCTTTGACCTCGAAACCCTAAACCCGACAGCCCAAACCCTAACCCTAACCCTCAAACCCTAAACTCGAAACTCTTGTATCCTAAACCCTTATGTCCTTAAACCCTTATATCCTAAACCCGCCTTTGAGGTCCTACGGTTTTTAAGGGGCCAGGACCTCTAGGGGGGGTGGGGCTTGGGCGCTCGTGCTCCGGTGGTTTGGGTGGAGCCGGTCCTTCAGCTTGGGGCATTTTTGCTGTAGGGTTGGTTGAAGGCTAAACCCTAAGCCCTAAGCCCTAAACCCCGTTCAGGTTGCATAGAGCCCCTGTACCCTAAACCCTAAACCCTAAACCCTAAACCCTAAACCCTAAACCCTAAACCCTAAACCCTAAACCCTAAACCCTAAACCCTAAACCCTAAACCCTAAACCCTAAACCCTAAACCCTAAACCCAGTTCAGGTTGCATAGAGCCCTGTACCCTAAACCCTATAAGCCCTAAACTCTAAACCTACGCCCAGGCGCGGATTGAGCCATGGCTGCCCAGCGCCAATGGTACCACTTGCCTCGAGCTCCCTGGCGAAGGGTTTAGGGTTTAGGGTTTAGGGTTTAGGGTTTAGGGTTTAGGGTTTAGGGTTTAGGGTTTAGGGTTTAGGGTTTAATTAGGGTATAGGATGTGAGGGCTTGTTGAGCTGAAAAGGTTTTTTTTGTTTAAGGTTTCTATGGGGTTGAGTAGGCTTGGCAAAGGGTTCAACGGTCAGGGTTTAGGGTTGGGTTTGATTTAGGGTGATTTTCATCGGGTTTCTACGGTGTATGGGGCTGAGGGCAACTATGGGGTTATTAGGGTTGAGGGTCGAAGTTTCATACGATCGAAAGGTTTCCCCGAGTACTCTCCTAAGATTGCTCTTACACAGACAATACTAAAGGGGTGGTTCGTTAAGCCTTAACCCTGAACTTAAACCCTAAATTCTAAGCACCAAGCCCCAAACCCCAAACCCTCAACCCAAGAAAGAACAACTTCAAATCCACAGGGTACAATGGCAGAGAGCTTGCACGGGTTTAGGGTATTATTCTGTTATCATTAGTGTTTATCACGGATTGCTGTTAGTGCACGCGTACTCATCTTTTGACACTAGTTGTAAGGACTTTATTGACGCACGAAATATCGAAACAACATTTCGACTTTTATTGCGTGCGTCTGGTTTATAAAGCGTTCTCCGACCCCAGAGTTTAAACCTTCAACTCCCAAAGCCCGCCAGAACCCTAGCCCTTGAACCCTAAACCCCTAACCCTAAACCCTAAACCCCTCACCCTAAACGGTCAGAAACTTGCACCATGGAAGCTAAGACCTTAAGCCCGGGAAAATTCACAGGCTCGCACAGCGGCAAGAAACGAAGGAGTCGACCAGGGTTAGGGTCAGGGGCAGAAGCCCCCTTTTCTCAGCGTTAGTGAAGTGTAGCTTCCCTATACCCTAAACCCTAAACCCTTTAGCCTAAACCCTAAACCCTAAACCCTAAACCCTAAACCCTAAACCCTAAACCCTAAACCCTAAACCCTAAACCCTAAACCCTAAACCCTAAACCCTAAACCCTAAACCCTAAACCCTAAACCCTACACCCTAAACCCTAAACCCTAAGCCCTATCCTGGCTGGTTCTGCAAGTCCCATTCTTCATTGGAAACGATACGTGGGCCCCTGCGACTAAGGCATCCTTAAGGCCCATGGTGCCTAAGCCCTGTAAACCCTAAACCCGAAACCCCAAACCCGAAACCCCAAACCCGAAACCCCAAACCCGAAACCCTAAACCCTAAACCCCAAACCCTAAACCCCAAACCCCAAACCCTGACCCCCTCACCCGCCCCCTCTTCGAAATACGGGGTTGAGGTGCATGTTAAGTCTTGGACCTACAGCTGTGAGCTGAAGCGGCGCCAGGCAAGTTGAGAAAGTCATTGAACACATACGGTTTGGGCTAAGGGTTTAGGAGCTTGCTGAATGAAAGGGTTCAGGGTTTATAGGGTTTATAGGGTTTATAGGGTTTATAGGGTTTATAGGGTTTATACGGTTTAGGGTTTATAGGGTTTATAGGGTTTATGGGGTTTATGGGGTTTATAGGGTTTATAGGGTTTAGGGTTTAGGGTGAAGGGGGTAGGCCCAGTTTAGCGTTTGGGGTGTATGGTTCAGAGGAGTCAGGAGCAGCCCCTTGGCCGGATCCCGTTCCTGCAGGACGTCGTGGCGGAATTCCTGCAACCAACCGCAACCGCGGCTCGCGACCAAGAGGCTGGCATTCCGTTTAGTGCACCCTAAAACCCAAAACCCTAAACCTTGTAAATCCTGATCATCCCTAATCCCTTTAAGGCCTAAACCCCTCCAAACCCTTAGCGCGTGGGCCTGCCTCCAGTAGTGACTCCATGCCTCCACTGACCCGGTTCCTAGCCGCCTGTGACTACTATTGGGGTTTTGGTTTAAGGGTTTAGGGTTCAAGTAGTTCTTGTTCTGCCAGACAGACGTGCCCGGCAACCTAACCTCCAAGTACGCAGCACTGGGTAGGGAGTCTTAGGATCCCTGTAGCGTGTCGTGGGGGGCAACCTGGTCGTGGATGCACATGCCTTTCCGTGGGAGAGGGCAAAATCTGCAGTGGTTCACACCATCCGCAACACAGCCCCATATGGCAGAACCATGAAGCCTACACCCATGAAGCACCCGTGTGAGGCACCGAGCGAAAAGGGCATGCGGTCTGAGCTTTAGCAGAGCAGAGCATGGCTTTGCAAAGAAAAGGCTTCAAAGCAAGCCCTAAACCCTAAACCCTAAACCCTAAACCCTAAACCCTAAACCCTAAACCCTAAACCCTAAACCCTAAACCCTAGCTCTGAGTTGGAGGTTCGGCTTCGCACTGGGGTTTAGGGGATTTGAGGGCCCTAAAGCGTTCTGGGCTTACTGCAACAGAAGTGAGGCGCTTTCTGCTCACAGTGAACCCTCGCATTTGGCCCGGTTGTTTTTTGATGGGGGGAGGGGGGGAGGTCATAAACGTCAAGGCAACATCAGTCTTTTGCTCAAAGTGCTGACACACAAACACACAAGGCCCTCGGTTCCAGGTAGTTCGGTGTGGGGTGTGCATGGGGTTTAGGGTTCAGGGTGTAGGAACTTCTGCTTCGGGGTGTCAGCCACGCACTTCTGTTGAATGGAAAAATGCTGAAGCATGCCCTTCGGAGCCTGAATCCCCGACTTTGTTTAAGGTTTAGGGTTGGTTCAGATCTCTGTTTGAAGCAGACTTGCGCCTCCCTTGACGGGTTGTATTTTGCCACTGCAACAACCGGCCCGTGCAGCTGACAAGTGGGTGGGCATGTGTGGCTTCAAGCCGATGCAGCGCGGCGCCTGTGCGGAAGACGCTGAGGCAGGGTTTGGGATGTAATCTACTAATTGGCTTAAAAACCCCCCAAATCACACAAATATTCTTCCTTCTTACGGGTAAATATAGGGATTTTTTATACACAAAAATATTCTTGCTTATTAAGGGTAATATAGGGATTATCATTGTTTATTTTTCGGGGTTCTTAAGCAAAGAGTAGTAATTGAGCAAGCCGCAATGACTCTAGCGAGTGTTTTCGGGTGGTCCATAGTGAACAATCTCTCATGGGGTTTAGGGTTTAGGTTTTAGGGTTTAGGGTCACACATTGCCCCACCCTCAGAGACGATGGTTGCTGAGAGTTGAGAGCCACGGCGTGTTAAAGATCAGGGCGCCTCAGATCCGTTGCGATGCGTGTGTTCGGAGCCACCGGGTCTGAAGACGAAGGGGGTTTCGCCGCAGGCCCCTCATTCGTGGAGCCGGGTCGGCGAGAGCGCCCGGGGCCTCAGGTCTTCCTGAGCGCTGTTTGAACTGGTCAGGTCCTCATCTCAATACTTCTACAGACTCTACTTATCTCATATATATGTATATACACATACAATAAATGAATTCTTCCTGTACGACCATCATGAGCACTGTCGAGACGCTGTGCTGCAATGGCAATCAAAGACTCATGCAAGGGAGCGTGGTGTGCTGCAATGGCAATCATGGAGTCACACCAGGGTGCATGGTGGCACAAGACAATACAACCATCCTCAACACAAGTACGGTCTCAATTAGGCCCTGCACCATAAACCCTAACCCTTAAACCTTAAAAGCCTGATTAAGCCCTGTACCCTGAAAAGGCCAGGGCTCCAGCATCTTCAGCATTTAGATGGCGAAGACGTGCAGGCAACGTTGCTGCCGAGGGTGCCTGTGCTGCTGCGGGCTCACCATCGCGGTCTTTCTTTTGTCGGCTCTCTTTGGCCTGTGCGTCTCGCTGCTGGCGGAGGCGAATATTGAGCCAGAGCAAATCCATCTAGCCTTCGCTGGCCAGGATGCCGCAGGCAACGCAAACGGCATGGCGGTCTCATGGTTCACAAGGGGTGAGCCCAAAGACGCGACAGTGCAGTATGGCCTAAGTGCCAAGCAGTTGGACCAGCGGGCCTTAGGCCAGTCGAAGAAGTATCTGATGCTGGGAGGCTTCCACGCGCATGCAGAGCTCGTCAACCTCACGCCGAGCACGCGGTACTACTACCGTGTAGGCAGCAGCAAGGACGACAAGTGGTCGCAGGTGCTGAGCTTCAAGTCCGCGCCGACGGGCCTGTCAGCCAGCTTTTCTATGGCGGTCTTTGGAGACATGGGTTGGGAAAACAGCACGAAGCGGCCCATGTGGATCACCTCGCACGGGCTCCGCAAGAACTGGTCGGCTACAGAGAGTCGCAACCTCCTGGAGAAGTGGAAGGATGAGAAGTCCATGGATTTCATATGGCACGTGGGGGACATTGGCTACATGGATGACTCCTTCGCGCATGCGCCCCTTGGGGTCACCTATGAGAGCTCCTACAATGGCTACATGAACTGGCTGCAGAGTCTGTCCTCGACCATGCCGTACATGGTTTCCCCGGGCAACCACGAGTCGGAGTGCCACAGTCCTGCGTGCATTCTGGACCCTTTCCTCGGCCGAGCACTCATGAATTTCACCGCGTACAATCACCGGTGGCGCATGCCCTCTGCAAGCAGCGGAGGTGTGGAGAACATGTGGTACAGCTTCAATATCGGTCCTGTTCACTTCGTGTCCATCAACACGGAGACAGACTTCCCCGGGGCCGAGGAGACAGACACGGGTGACAGCCACATCTTTTGGTTGAAAGCCGGCCATTTTGCTGGTGAGGGCCAGTACTTGAAATGGCTAGAGGATGACCTGAAAGCTGCCGATGCAGCACGTAAGTCTGGACACAGGCCCTGGATAATCGCAGGAGGCCACCGGGCACTGGGATGGATTGACAAGTCTGGCGTCAAGGAGCTCTTCGACAAGTACAAAGTGGACCTCTACTTCGCGGGTCACGCTCACACCTACTTCCGGGATCCTCCGGTTCGCGCCGGCAAAGTCACTTCCAGCGAGAAGCGGGTCTTCAAGGATGTGGACGGCTATATTCAGGTGATTGCGGGCGGAGCTGGATCCGACGAGACGGATTACATCGTCGCACCGAAGTGCAATGCCAGTGTCCTCGAAGCAGGCACATGCGTGCTGCCGTCGCCCCCGAACAAGGACTTTCCGGAGCACATCTTCGCCACGGACGTCGCTATATCCCCCTTGAGAATTATTGTTTTAAACTTTTAGTTTATAAAAAACCTAAGAGGATATTAAACATATTATTATTACTATTATTGCTATTATTATTATTATTCTTATTACTGCTATTATTATTAAGGTTCTAAAAGGGGAGTAGAGGTCATGTCCCTGGGCCTCTTGGACGTGGTGAACGCCTCGGCCCTCCGCTTCCGCCTCGTGGATTCCCTGCACGGCCAGGCCATCGACGAGTTCTGGCTCACCAAGTCACTGACATCAGTGTTAGAAGAGGGTTTAGGGTTTAGGGTTTAGGGTTTAGGGTTTAGGGTTTAGGGTTTAGGATCCTTTTTACCTTTTGGGTTATGGGCTTTCTTACATATGAACAAAAAGGATCCCTTTTTGTTCTTCCTCGGGGAACGGGGATTAAGGTCAGCGCAGTCGCTCCGGGCGACTTACGTCTGAGCCTTGAACCGAAGTAGGCGCAGCCGACGCCCTCTGAGACTCTGAAGGCAGTTTGGCCGGAAGGGGCTTGGTTTCTGTTCCAGCAGGGAGCAAGCCTGTTAGCCAGTTGATCTTCTGTTCCAGGCTTGGTTGGCTTTTTAGTACCCTAAACTCTAAACCCTAAACCCTAAACCCTAAAGCCCTAAACCCTACACCCTAAACTGCAACTTGACGGTTCATGTTTCGGGTCTTGGGGTGAGGTGTCCACGCTTTGCTCCCTGCCAAATCTTTTGCTTAGCTTTGACCGGCGACTCTGTGAAAGTGGGGCAATCAGCTGGCAATTTGTGCTTTTGGCTTGCTGGAGACTGTTCTGCAATGTGTTTTTGGCAAGTGGGTAAAACTGCAAAGAGCAAAGCCAAACCATAACGAAGGAAGCAAAACTACGATGAACAACAACACCAGCAACAGCAGCAGCAACAACATCTGCAGCAACAACACAAGCAGCAGCAGCAGCAGCAGCAGCAGCAGCAGCAGCAGGAGGAGGAGGAGGAGGAGGAGGAGGAGGAGGAGGAGGAGGAGGAGGAGGAGGAGGAGGAGGAGGAGGAGGAGGCAGCAGGAGGAGGAGGAGGAGGAGGAGGAGGAGGAGGAGGGACGACGACGGCCGCGGCGACGATGAAGACGACGACGACCACGACCGCGACCACGACCACGACCACGACCACAATGACAGCGCAAACCAGTCACCCAGAACAATCATGCCTATTTCATGTACTGGTATCTGAGCCGCTTGTATCTGGTTGCTGGTTTGATTGTAATCACTTTTCATTGAAATCATGCTTACTTGATTGTATCTGTGCTTCCGATCTGTGTACAAAGCTGCGTTCCCGCCTACACGCCTACACCGACCCAGTCATAGTGTAGTAGCAATGCTTCAGTAGTACGAACGAGAAACACCAACATACGCGACCATACACACTATTCTGCACGAACATACGCTACTCTGGATTCTACACCCTAACTCCCACATGGACCCCCAGAGTACGTAAAACAGAAAAAGCCCAAACCCATAAAAAGGTCCATTATTTTGCATATTGTGGGGGTCTTAGGTAACCCTAAACCCTAAAACCTAAACCCTAAACCCTAGACCCTAAACCCTAAACCTGAGCACGAATGGAAACTAACATCATGGTCCAAGAGAGGCACCACGAGCCTTGCCAAGGCTTCAGCCTCACAAGACGCGGCTTCTGAGACTGCCCTCCTCACACCACCTCTAGGGTTTGGGATTTAGGGTTTAGGGTTTAGGGTTTAGGGTTTAGGGTTTAGGGTTTAGGGTTTAGGGTTTAGGGTTTAGGGTTTTGGGCTGCAGGGTTTAGGGTTTAGGGGGCCTCTCTGTTCTTCAGGTGCGTGTAGTACCGAAAAAGCAAAGAACGTGCTGCCAATCCAAAGGGATTCGAGTAGGGTCAGATATGTGCAAAAACTGCTCGGCTGGAAGACAAAAAGGCCTCAAAGCCACATGACAAGATCGTATTGCTCAGAGCTCAATCATTTTACAAGTTGCAAGCTTGTAATCAACAACTATCAGAACAAAAAAGCTGCGGATTGATAGAAGCTGTATTGTTGAGTGAACACGTATGTTTACTGGCTAGTTGAAGCTGGGAATAGGGATTCTCGTATTGGGAGGAGGGGGGGGCGCAAAAGATTGGGGTGCCCGTGCTCCCGTTGGCTGCGTGGCTCACGAGCCTCTATAGGCCTGTGGTGCTCACGCTCAAGAGCGGGGCGCCGAAAGGGCTTATAGGGTTTGGGGGACCCTAAACCCTCAACCCTAAAATCTGCTGTGTTGAGATGAAATTGATATAGATCCGCTCAAATCCTAAAGCGCCTAAAGACAAGACATTTATCCTCACGCTTCAGCTTCATCCCTAAAACGGTTCGAGGGTCTGGAGCCTGTTGTTCATGGAGGATGTTAACGCCGATGTTGCCAGCACCGCACTCTCGCGATTCCGGAAAGCTTCCATCAGGGAGTTGTCTCAACAAGTGCCAGAGGACCTGATCCAAGGCATTCCATTTCATTGTCTCTTGGCTGGTGCTGGACGTCCCTTCACGGCTGCACACGCGCAACTAGCCTGCATTGAATTTTCTGCTCCCATAAGCTCTCAGCGTTAGGTCCTTCTGGGGTTACCAACAGGGGCTGCGAGGATTCTGGGCGGTGGCCCACAGGACGGTGCGTGACTAGGCGAGGTGCGAGCTTTGGCGGCGGGACCCCACCGTATGGGCGTGGGACGGGCACCGCGGGGCGCGAGCTTTCGCGGCACGACTCGACAGGCACGGGACGGCAGAGACACCGTGCCTGAGGCAAGTTACAACGCGACTTCCCCAAAATCGGTTGCGTCACTCAGCATAGGCGTGCTCTGATTGCGAGGGTCTTGGTTTTTGGGTTCAGGGCTCGGCCTGTTTCTTTAGTCACCATTATACCCATGTTCAGTGTGGTTTTGTTTCTATACTTTCGTGGCCATAAGAAGCAACCCTAAACCCTAAACCCCAAACTTAAACCCTAAACCCTAAACCACCCGTTGAATTGGTAACCGCAGTCAAGGCCATCTGCGAGCCGAAAGCAGCTTCGGCAATGTGTGCACTTCGATGCTTTCATTAGCCATGACTGGCAGACCTCCCGCTGGTTGAAATATGGATCACTGCTGTTATTCTTCAATGCCAAGCCTGCCGCGATTGCGACGTTGGTTGTCAGCTCGGCAGTAGGTGGGGACCTCTAACCATGATCCCCAACATCGCGTTCAAAGGGAAGGGACCCGTAGAAAAGAAAAAACCCAACCCCTGGAGTCTCGGGTTTAGGGTTTAGGGTTTAGGGTTTAGGGTTGAACAAATCGTCCTCCCCTCCCTGCAGGTTACCTCACCCACCGTCAGGTCCTGCCTCGAACTTATTGGGGGATATGCCTTGGCTATCTCACCTTCTTTGTCTTTCTGGTCTTTTGGCAGAACATCCGAGACCTGTTCTTCAAGCCACGGCTGGCTTTTCTTGACAAGCTGACGATACCCCAGGAAGATGAGAAGCTGAAAGAGAGGTGCATTCTTGGTCTGGCAGGGTTCCTGAAATCTTCACGGAGATTGGTGGTCTTATTCTCGGAGTCGTACATTGATCGCGTTTGGTGTGTCTATGAATTTTCAACATTCATGCGTATTCACGGCGGAGAAAGGCCAGTGCAAGCAATCCCTGTGGCGCTTTCCGTGCTGCTTCTGGTGCACTATGTTTGGTGGCTTGCAATCAGGTTGTTAATGTCCACATTGTGGTGGAGCTCGGACCTGCAGACTTCCAACCTATATGTGGCGATGCTGGCAATGTCTGGTGGTGTTCTCTTGGCGTTCGTTGTCACCTACCCTTGCCAAGCGTTTATTGGCATGCAGATGACTCAAAACTTGCAGGACCTCGCTGCAAAAGTGCGCAGCTTCCGAGTACAAGAAGCAAAGTGTTTTTGCTGCTCTGCAGGCCACATGACGCGGAGCGGAAGGACAATCCCATGTGATAGAGAGTTGATCTATCAGAGCTTCTCTGCATGGTATAGTACGGAAGACAGTCAGGAGACTGGACTTGACATGTTCAATGAAGATGTGAGGTCCCAGTACGGCCATCACATTTTGGAGACCTGCGGGGGTTCCCGGATGATTTCAATGAGCATCTTCATCTACGTGGTGTTCAGCACCAACACGCCCTTGTTAATAAGCAGCATCCCAACTGCTCTTACACCAGCAGAGCAAGAAGCTTCTGTTTCGCAGGCTGTGCTGGTCGCAACACGACGTTTGGTAGCTAGCTGGGGATACGTATTTCCAGGTATGCTGTTCTATCTGTGGGCAAACAAGGTGGCGTGGTCCCACAATCACAGGTGGCCTAGGTGTGTCAAACTTATCTCGCCTGTTTTTGTGGTCTCCTTAACCATCGGAGTGGGTTTCCTGGCGCGTTCTTCAGAATATTGGGTAGCTGACAACAACTGGCTTCCCCTGATGGTGTGGTTGTTCTTGATGATGGCTGGACTTTGCCTCCTGGACCCCGGCTGCCTGTGCAAGATTGTGCTGGCGGGGCGAAGGTTCAAGCCTGCACTGGATGAGGCGAACCACGAGCAACCTGACACCTTCTCGATTTGAATCTTTCCGGCATGGCCTCACGCTGCACTGGCCTGTCTCGGGGCTCGCGGTTCCCGTAGAAGCCCTTTATTTTCAACAAGGGTACCCCGCTTTTCTTCCGAGGCTTGCTCTTAAGGGCCTAGTTACCTACCCATCCTATGCTGTGACTCGTACCTGATCTTCTTGCGATTTGTAGGTATGTGTGCAGTAACCCTAGCGCTAAACTAAGCCCTAAACCCTAAACCCTAAACCCAAGGTACGGAGGGCGTAGGGCTTCTTCGCTGTCGGTTTTGTCCAGACCCAAAACCCATCACGCGCCCTCAGAAGTTCGCGAAGTGAACTTCTGAGGGCCTTGCAGTCGCAACAAAAATGTATGGCTGGCTTCGGGTTTAGGGTTTAGGGCTTAGGGCTTAGGGCTTAGGGCTTAGGGCTTAGGGCTTAGGGCTTAGGGCTTAGGGCTTAGGGCTTAGGGCTTAGGGCTTAGGGCTTAGGGCTTAGGGTTTCGGATGAAGAAAGAGTTACCCAGCTAGCTGGTTAATGGTAGCCGTGATCTAGTGCGAATAGGACTACAAGGAATGATCGTAGTCTCGCTCAGCGATCGGCAAACATATGGGGGTGTATGAAAAGTAGGGACCCCGAATATAGACCCCAAATAGTAGGAATCCCGTATAATACGGCCCCCAGCTAAGGTACCCCTATTATCGTAAACCCCCCATATGCCCAGTGCGTTCGGATGGGTTTGGGGCTCGGACTCGCGGACTGCACAAGCAACGAGGCTTGCACCACTCTTGGCAGGTTTAGGGTTCTAGGGTCAACAAGGGCTGAGAGTCATAATAATACGGTGTTTAGGGTCGGTTCAGGGTTTAGGGTTTAGAGTTTAGGGTTTAGAGTTTAGGGTTTAGGGTTTAGGGTTTAGGGTTTAGGGCTTGGGGTAGACTTTTCCCCGCAGCCCCACTCCATTCTGCGCTTCTTCTCTTGCCGCCATTGGCTCGCCCCAGGGTTTTAAACCAAGGACAAGGCGCCCAAGGAGCGACATGGAATGGTTTGTGAGCGATCTGTTGAGACAAGATGCCCCAAACCCCGCCCACAAGGCAAATACAAAGGCCGGCGACACTCGGCCCCTACATTGCAGGCTTTATAGAGAAACTACACAACCAGATACCAAGACGCCATGTGCGATCACGCAACTTTGCAGGACTCTACACCCTCAACCCTCAATTTTCAACTGCTCCAAGGGTGTGAGACCCTGGGTTTTCGTTCTACTCGGTTTTGGTCTTTCGGCTTTTTTCGGTTTTAGGGCTTGTCTTTTGGAGAGCATTCCATGTTCGGATCAAGGGCTTGCTAAGAGGGCCATGGGAAAGAGAAAGGATCGTAAGCAGGGGGCGTGCCTGAGCCCGAAACCAACTCCTCGACAACCTAAACCTTGACCCCAAACCTTTTTCTGTAGGTTCAGAATGGCGTAGCCCCAAAACCCCTAAACCTACAGTTGCAACAAACTCCGATTAGCATTTAGGGCTTCGGAGCCTCCTGTATTTAGCGTCCGACGGAACCGGCGAAATGTCCCGAGGCAACTTCCCAAGTCTAGGGTGTGAAGGGAGTAAGATTCTTACCCCTAAGGTGGTCCCCCCAAAGGCTTTCCTTAATTCATATGCGCCTAACATGGCCCTTATATTGCCTTAGGGAACCCTAAACCCTGAATTCTAAACCCTAAACCCTAAACCCTAAACCCTAAGCCTGAAGCCCTAAACCCTAAGCCCTAAGCCCTAAACCCTAAACCCTAAGCCCTAAGCCCTAAGCCCTAAACCCTAACCCTAAACCCTAAGCCCTAAGCCCTAGACCCTAACCCCTAAACCTACACTTTACTAAACCCTAAACCCCAAACCCTAAATCCCGAAACCCTAAATCCCCGCATATCTCCCTGTGGGAGCTTGTAAAGCCTCAAACCCTGAGCGCTGGCGCCTGAAAACCCCGAACCCTACAACCCGAAACCCTGAAAGCCTTAAAGCTCCTGCAGAGGGATCGGAAACAAGTACTAACAGCATTTGTTGGTCCCTACATATTTATTCCATATACCGTCCCCCCCCCCCTCCCCAAAAAAAAGCAAAAAAAAACATAAAAACAAAAAAAAACTATGCCCGTCATGAAGGCCCCTATAGTAAACTCCAGAAAGTTTGAACATGGCTTAAGGATCATTGAAGCTGCGATTCCCTGAAAGTATGCCTTGTGGGATATGGGGATAAGGATGTTCCAACTTCTTGGAGTTTACTGCATGCTGAAATGCTTCATTAAACAAAAATCGAGGGCTATTATGGTTCTGGGTTGGGGGTTCCATGGTTCAGGGTCTGGGGTTGAGGGTTGGAGCTTGCGGGTCCTTTTGGTGTTTCAGAGTTTGAAGTTGAGACTTAGGCTTTAGGGGCTTAGGGTTCAGGATTTTTTTGGGGTTTAGGGTTTAGGGTTTAAGGGCGGTTCAACCCCAACCTCCCAGGCCCCACAAGATGCGACAAGAGCTGAAATATCCCGGGAGGATGCCGTGGAGAACGGTATTGATCTCAGCAGCAATGCCTTTATGCTCATCCACGGATGGACGGCCCGGCTTCCCAAAAGGGGTTTAGGGTTTAGGGTTTTGAGTTTTGGGTTTAGGGTTGGGCCAGAGAGTTCCAGGGTCTAACTTAACGGTCAGGAGTCCTTCATGGTGTGAGAGCTAGGCTTAGAAGCAACTTCTCACCCGACCAAGGTACACAGAACGTTCGTGTCTCTATAGCATCATGTCTCTGGAGCACGTCTCACATCCGTACAAGGAGCCAAGAACTACCGTAGCTCTAAAGCCCTGAAGAAGCCCTTGATACACGTTTTCGTGATTTAGGAATATGCCGAAATGTTTCGGCTCTTCAGTCCTGCTTTTTGCAGTCGGTAGGTAATGGCCGGGCCCTCGGTTTGCTCTTTCTGCAATCGGTGGTGGAGCACATCAGGGGCACCTATTTGTGGTCTTTGCAGAATTGCACGGGCCGTAGCTGCCCTACCGCTTGACAACCGAGTTAACAATACAAACTACGATTTGGCCACCTCTATTCTGGAACGTGCTTTGGGGGAGGTGAATTCTTGGTTGGCTGTCCCGTTGGCAGAAGCCCAAGGGACTGTGGAGAACATTCCTTCTACTCCTGGATCGGGAGCTGTTGAAGGGGATTTGCACTCGGGAGAAGACTCTCCTAGATCAAGGGACTTGGGAAAGGACAAGAGGTCAGATCGTCAACAGGAAAGGCGGGCTGAAAGAAGGGAGGTGAAGCGACAACCGCCTCCACCACCACCTGCGCCCGCGAGAAGCTCTAGGGACTCTAGGGCACATTCTCCACCACTTGCCACTCGCGAGAGACATATTGGACAGCATCCTACTGGGTCTGACTGTTTTGTCCAGCGCCGAAAAAAGACGAACAAGGGCAAGAAACATCGAGAGCGAGGCCACGCATATCAAGCCTGGAGAAGAGGTGAAGAGTGACCAGCTGAGATAAGAACCTCATGCCGCCTAGGATTCGCCGCCCGGCAGCCTCAAGGGCGCTGGCAAAGTCCAAGCCAAAGGTGAAAGTTGCCCCCCGACAGTCAGGCCGAAAGCTCAAGAAGAAGCCAGGTCCGACCCGACAGTCAGGCCGAAAGCTCAAGAAGCCAGATCCGGGTACTCACTGGGTTGCGGTAGAGAACTTCGAGATCAAAATTGGTGACCAGCTCCACCTGCGGGGCACCTATAAGGGGAAGCCAGCAGAATGCATTGGGCAAGTGCAAGCTTTGGTTCAGGATACCGAAGGTTCATGGATGCGCCTCTCCCTCACTGGAAGCCCCAACCCGGAGATACAAGAGTGGAAACAAGCTCCCACAGGAGAGTTCTATGCGAATCGCAAACCCCTTGTGAAACCTTTGAGCACCGAGGTCGAGGGGTTGTTTTGTGTTCAAGACGTGAGAGAAGTAGACCCAACCTTAGAGTGGAAGTCAAATCTGGTAGATCTCATTCGCCACGGCGCCGGATTGCAGGGCTTGGAAGCTCTAGCCCAGGATTTGGGGTACGGATCGGGAGGGATAGGACCCATGGCCCCTCCTGTGCCCGAAGCCCGCGCTCCCGTAGAAGAACAAACCAAGAAGCTGAAAGGGGCCGCGCGCGTCAGAGCAATGTTGAAACAGAGCCACTGGTCTTGGAGAAACTCATCCCTAGACCCACTTTTCAAAAGGCCCAAAATCAGCTTGAAAAGGAAGCGAGAGGCCAGCTCCGGCAGCTCCATGTCGAAGCTGAGCCTCTCAGAAGCGGAGTCCGACCAGGAAGACTTGTTTCCGGAGGAAGCGCAGGCCAAGCATATCGCGCGGAAGTGTCCAGGCCTGTTAGCCCGGCATGCCATGCGGGCGGCTCACAACAGATTGTGCATGGGGGTGGGGGAGGATGCAAGGAATCGCGAGGCGCGGCCAGTTTTCGTCAAATACTTTCGTCAGGTGTTCAGTCCCTCGTGCAACTCGCCCCCCATGAGGAGGGAGTATCTCACGTTAGCAACTTGCGTGGACTGTATCGTCGAGGGCAGTGTTTTGAAGATGGTGGACTACGCAGTCCAACGCATGAAGGCGCTAGAGCAGATAGCCCAAGGTGCCTCACCTCACCTCGCCAACCGACTGGAGTTGATCCCTGCGGAGGTCTCCGCGCTGGCATCCACCGAGGAAGCGCGCTCAGCCGCGCAGGAACAAAGGCGAGAGGACAAAGCCAGGTCCTCTTGGGCACCGCGCGGCAAGGGAAAGTGGGATCAGCCCTGGGGGAAAGGAGCTTGGGAAGAGTCCAATCCCAAAGGAGGCAAGGAAGCCAAGTCCGGGAAAGGAAAGGAGGCGAAAGGCAAAGCGTGGTCGAAATTTCGTCCTCCGAATCCGAAGGGAGCATATGCACCGTCGACGGAGATAGTGCAGGTCAAGGAGTGAATGGTTCTCTAATCGCAGCGGCGTCAAGCCGGGACGGATTTATTCCTGCAAGTCCTTCCTGCGTTGAGTCTCGTGTTCTG